CTTCAGGAAGCACCTTTATGGTAATTCTACTGAACCGAGATCGGAAGAGCGTCGTGTAGGGTCGGTGATGTAAGTCCCAGGGATTAACTGCTAAAAAAAAAAAAAAAAAAAGTAGCAATTTGATTTGCGACTTTCCTAATGATTAAGATAAGATTTGCCTGAAAAGAGCCTTTCTAATCATTCTTCAGGAAGCACCTTTATGGTAATTCTACTGAAAATGTTAAGCAACTCTTTCTTTCTCGAAAAACTCAAAAAGTAAAGTAGGGAAACTTAGAAACTTTAACTTGAAAATGAGAAACTAAGCCTTGAAGAGGATTCTGACCAGGCACACACTCCAGCTGTCCAGACATGAAGACATACTCCAAGGTGCCCTCCGTCCTACCACCTTGGTCAACAGCTAAGTGATGGCAGAAGCAGAGAAAAGAGGCATCTATTACAGAGTGTTAATACCAGAAACGTTAAATTCATAAATACAAATGCTTGGAATATAAATATCAGGTCATTCTTCAGGATGTGCATGCAAAACCATAAATAAGTAAGTAAATGGAAATATGAACAGAAATTGAGAATTAAATGGAAATTTGTAAAAATGACCAGAGGCCCCCAAATATTGGTAGAAAGTTTATCATTGGCAGTCCATCCTTCTGCCTGTTTTGTCTACAGTGTTTTCCCAGCTAAAGTTCCTACACCAAAGTCCCACACTGAGACAGAAGCATCTCCCTTCCTTTCACTACATTCTAGTCTTGATGCTCTGGCCCCGTAAAGATTACAGCCTAACAAACCTGATGGGGCAGTTCCACTTGGGGGTCAGTGGCAATCAATCCAATGGCATACAACCACAAAATCCCACCCAGTCCAGATGCAGCGCCTGCATCGTAACCAGCTTTGGAAAAGCAGCGTAAAGGAAAGAGAAGAGCACTCTTTTTAGGGTACTCCACTCTCCACTCTTTCAGGTGAGGGACTGCCTTCTCCATTGGGCCTGTTGCCTGAATGGAGCTATCCTCTTGGTAGAATGAGGCAAGAAGGAAAACAAAACAAAACACTCTCAGAGAATAGTCAACGGGGCTACTAAGGGAAATTAAATCCCTCAGCCATTTAGTTATTACTCTATAAGCTCATTACATTTTTACACATGCAAAATTTCTTTTGAAGTTTGTCGTTTGATATAGAGATGACTCAGGCTTGGTTGAGTGGAAAAGGATTGAGATTAAATTTCTTCTTTTAATTCACTGTATATTTGAAAATGCAAACACACTGTTTTTCAGGATAAAAAACTAAAAAACGATTTGCTTGATGGATCATGGGTTTAAAAGAATTTAAAAACACTGAAGGTAGCAAAGTGCTATTAGCTCTGGAGTGCCCATGAAATGAGTCTGAGTTGTGTTTTATTGTAGACTACAAGTTATTGTAGAGCTATTCTATATAAAATTCACTTATCACACTTCACCTCAATGTTAGAAGATGTACATAAAATGGTAATAAAAATGTTTCAATGCTTGTGGCATTAAAAAGCCCTCCACTTCTCAGGATAGCATTTTTCCATAAATACATTTATTAGAAAGCTTTAAAAAACAAAAACAACAACCAGACTCACGGCCCTCAAGTTGATTGCAACGCCTTGTGCACCTTTTGGACACAGCAGTGGAACGGCTCCTGTGGGTTTCTGAGAGCTAACGTCTTCACAGGAACACAGAGCCTCCTCTTTCTCCCAGGGAGAAGGCAGTGGGTTTGACTCGCTGATGTGGTTAGCATCTCAGTGTGTGGAGGGTAATAGTTTGTGACATGGTTGGCTCTTAGTTTTCACATGACATTTAGTAGGGATACTGAACTTGATGACATCGGACCCCTGGGGGCAAAGTGGTTACAATCCCCAGGGCCAGGAGTTCGAACCATCGCTGCTCCTCGGGAGAAAGACAGGGCTTTCTACTTACACAAACAGTGACAGTCTCAGAAACTCACAGATGGTTCTACCCTGTCCTAATAGGGTCACGATGAGTTGGCACGGACTCAATGGCAGTGAGTTTTGAGGTACAGAACACTGGATAAAGGCAAAGTGCAGAACTGTGTCGCTCATGTGACACCTGACCTTGCACTCAACAGACATTTTACTGAGCATGTGGCATGTTCTCCTCCTTGCAGCGGACTCTCAATTTTGAAAGACTATGAATCACTTACCATTTGCGTCCTGACATGCTTTTTCCTTCTTCTTTTTTTACTGCTGATGATTTGGGGAGAAGGGGCAGGGAAAAAGCATGAGAGGATAAGTTATATTACAACCTGAAATAAAACAAATGTTTAATAGTTACACACTATACTAAGTTATACATTAATTTTCCACTTTTATAAAATGATTAAAGCTAAGCTACTTCTAGTTGCATTTCAGCAGCCAAATGCTATTTTATTATACGGCACAGGGTGTAAAAAGTAGTTGAGCCAGATAACCAAAATGAATCCAAATTAAACTAATTGCTGTTGAGTTGTCTCCTACTCTTTGGTGACCATCACAGAACTGCTCCACAGGGCTTCCAAGACTGTCAGTATTGATGGGAGCAGACGGCCACCTCTTTCTCCTGAGAGCCGCTGGGGGGTGCAGAGACCCACTGTCTTTCCGTGAGCAACAGAGTGCTTTCACCACTGTCCTACTAGGACGCCTTAGCTAGGGAACACTGGAAGGGACCCTCTCCACTGAGTAAGTCATCAGGCAGAGTTTGGATGAGAAAACAGGATGTGGAAGAAGACGTAAACATGCCATTTGCATAAAGTTTCAAAACATGCCAAAAAGCAGCATACATTATTGGGGGATAAAAAGAAATATAGTCAAGAGCTGCTCATGAAGAACCCTAAATTCTGGGTAGCTGTAAGGGAGAGCTGGAAATGTGACTGAGAGAGCTCTGAAGGGACTTCAGTTGTTCTCTGTTACTGGGTGTTAAATGTATTACAGCTGTATGCCTCTTTATGGGCTTGAAATACTACATAACACACCTTTTCTAACACTGAATCAGGGCAGAAGAAAAAACAAAACTGTCAACAGGCTATCATGGGAGACCCCAGGAGAGAAGCATGATTGTTTTAGCTATGACTCTCCTAGCATTATATTTTTCCTTTCATTTGTAACATCAAAGTCACTTAATAATGTCCTTCAGCCCACCTGTCCCACTCAGAAGCAAGCAAACACCCTGGGCAGGGTCAGCCAGCCCAGCCACATCAGCCCACAGTTGCGCACCAGACACAAGAGAGAGTGCAGTGCTCACAGACGAGTTGAATGCCCTCAGGTCAGACAAGAACGGAAGTACTCCGCACAGGAACGGTTAGAGCTGCTCCCCAGAATCCACCTGCCTCCCCTGGCCTCAGAAAGGGCCCATCCATGAACCTACTAGAGCTGTGCCAGGCTTTAAAAAAGGTCTGAAGGAAATGACATGAAAACATTGACATTTTAGGCATTAGGAAAGAAAGGCAAGGAAATCTGCCCGCTACTGGCACCATGGAGGGCATCCAGGCATTTGGTCAAGTGGCTCTGGCAGTGCCATTCAATGATGAATAAGCATTGTCCTTCACTCAGGACAATGTGGAGAGGCCACAAAGTTCCAGTCCTCTCTCCACCCACACAGCTTCACTGCAAATGCACTCTTAGTTCAATTAGCTCAAAACCAAAACCTCACATAGAAAGAAGTTGTGCAAAGAAAACAAAAGCATTAAACACTTATCCTCAGTTCGATTTCCCTATTCACTACATAGGATAGTTGGTTACTCTTTGATGAATAACAACTCAAGTTTCTAATAGTGTCATATCTAGTATTCACTGACCATACAACTCTCTCTACTTAGATGTCAGGCTCTTACCAAATTAGAGTGCTATAGGTTGATGCGTCTTTCCTTATGATTATGATCAAAATACTGTGTATGGACCATTTGTTTTAGAATCTCTGGTGTGAAACATGCAGATTCCTGGGCCCATTCCATGCCTACTGAGCAAGAATCTGCAGGAATGGATCTGGGAATCTAACTGTGTATCAGGATTTGCAATGCAAAGTACACTAAAGTCTGAAAAACTAAATGGACCACAGGAAAATCTTTTCTGGAAATGGGTGTTGAACAAACTGCTGGATGATACGGCCTGGCAGAAAAGACCAAAATCGGGGCTTAGCTGAACGCCTGATGAGAAGGCAGCTATTGCTGGAGCTCATGTCTCCTCTATATCTGCTCCAGGCATACACAGGAGGGACGACTAATAAACACCCAATTTCCTGACGTAATCCATCTCATCATATGCTATCATTTTTCAAATCCCATGTTAAAGTCATTACTGGAAGAAATCCTCATAATCCTGAAAATAGACTTCTGACCCAGGGGCAGTACTTGGCACCTCACCTGACCCGGTTGGGGGACATTCACAAAAGTCAGCAGATAGAGCAGGAACTGTTTATAGGCTTTTACCCTCCCCTCCCCACACCTTTTTTAATATATGTCTGTCTATATAAGATAGGCGGGATAAACAATCCCAAGGAGAAAGCAACAAGGCCAATGGTTCTGAGGGGAATGGGAGAAGAGGAGGTAGGGAGCCAACAAACTCAGGGACAGGGGAACAACAAGGGATCTAAAATCAACAGCGAGGAGGGTGCTGGTGATTGATCAATTGTAATGTAGTGACAACTACTAAGAGTGGAATGAAGGGTAAACCTAATAGTGGGGTGGGAGAGAAGTAAAAGGAAATAGAGGAAGAACTAGGAGGTCAAAGCTATATAGAGAGCTATAAACATACATGTATATATGTAAATATATTAATATATAAAGATAGGGGTATTGGGCTATGTACATATATGTAAAGCATTAAGGCAGCAAATGGACTTGGCGCCTCTACTTTTTTTTAAAACTATATCATCAAATTGGGGCTTTCACTGCTCTTCTCACAATCCATACATCTATCATGTCAAGCACATTTGTACATATGTTGCCATCATCCTTTTTCAAAACATTTTCTTTCTACTTGCGCCCTTGGTGTCAGCTCATTTTTATCACCCTTCCCCCACCCTTCCACACTCGTGAACCCTTGATAAATTGTAAATTACTTTTATTCTCATAACATGCCATCTGCTGTCTCCTTTCACCCATGTTTCTGTTGTTCGTCACCCTGGGGGGAGGGGTGTTATACGTCGATCATTGAGATCGGTTTCTCCTCTCTCCTCCCATCTTCCCCCTGTCCTCAACCACTTCGTATTTTGTCAAAATACTGCCTTTGGTCACCTCAAGTGTCCCCATACACTACCGGCAGAATACTTCATTGGAGGGAACCTGTGGACAAGATGTGTGTTCAAAATCTCAGCAAAAGTTAGCCAGCTTTTCCACCACCACATCAAACAGACTGACGCCGAGGGGTGGGCAGTTAGAATGACTCCCCTAGGACAGACTGACAGACAGGACCAGACCATGAGTGTGGGCCGGCCAGAATGATATCTGATACCTGATCTTATCAACATCTAGTGACCACACAGGCTGGTGTGTTTCTTCCATGTGGACCTTGTTGCTTCTCAGCTAGATGGCTGCTTGTTTATCTTCAAGCCATTAAGTCCCCATATGCTCTATCTTTTGATAGCCAGGCACCATCAATTTTCTTTACCACATTTGCTTATGCACCCATTTTGTGTTCAGCAATCGTGTTGGGAAGGTGATCGTCCCAGGATGCCAGGTTATTAATAAAAAGTGTTCTTGCATTGAGGGAGTACGTGAGTAGAGTTTGGGCCTCTAGTTAAGTCTTCCCTCAGTGCAAAAACACTTTGTTCTAATAACCTGGCACTGTGTAATACCTTCCTGACAAGATTACTGAAGACAAAATGGGTGCATCAGCAAATGTGGTGAAGAAAGCTGATGGTGCCCGGCTATTAAAACATATAGCATCTGGGTCTTAAAGTCTTGAAGTTAAACAAGTGCCATCTAGCAAAGAAGCAACAAAGCCCACATCAAAGTAGCACACCAGCCTGTGAATCACAAGGTCTTGATGGGATCGTGTATAGAAGACCAAAAACAAACAGTCATATCAATGTAAATGAGAGGGGTCAGAGTGGAAAGCCAAAGCCTGTCTGTTGATAATTGGACATCCCCAAACAGAAGGGACACATGGAAGAGACCATTCATTCAGGGTGGAGCATAGCACTGATGAAACACACAATACTCCTCTAGTTCTTTAATGCGTCCTCCCCTACTATCATGACCCCAGTTCTACCTCACAGATCCTGCTAAACTGGAGTATGTACATTGGTACAGATTAGAACTTTCAACACACAGAATCCAGGACAGATAAACCCCTCAGAAACAGTAATGGGAGTAGCGATTCCATAAGGGTATGGGGAGGAAAGGGGAGCAGAGGTAGGGAATAAGGGGGAATTGATAGCAATGATGGATGTATAACCCCCATTGAGGGGGATGAATAACAGAAATGTGGGTGAAGGGATACAGAAGTTGGTGTAAGATATGAATAATAATATATAACTTATTAAGGGTTCACAAGATGGTAGGGTGAACAAGGGAGGGGAAAAAAGAGGATCTGATATCAAAGGGCTGAAGTAGAAAGATAGTGTTTTGAAAATGATGATGGCAACATTTGTACAAGTTCACTGATTTATGGATTGTTATAATATCTGTAAGAGCCTCCAATAAAATAAAAAAAAGAAATCCTCATAATCCTCATCAAGTTATTCTTTTCAATTCAAACAGTTTTTTTATCAAATAGATCCTGAGCATCTACTTAATATGAGCCTGGCACTGTCCTTGGCCTCAAGGAACTTGTAGTCCACATCAGCCCTGCCCAGTATGAATATGCGATGAGTCATTATGTAAGCGTAAAGGTTCTTGTAGCCAGATTAAAAAAGTAAGAAGAAATGGCAAATTAATTTTAATGATTTTAGTTAATCTAATATAGCTAAAGTATTATCTTAATATCTAATCAATATAAAATTAGTAAGTCTACATTCTTTTATGTACAAGTCTTCAAAATTACACTTAAAACTTATTTATACTAGCCACATTTTACATGCTCAATCATCTTGTGTGGTTAACAAAGAGACCACCTCACAGCCCTCCAGTCAATTCCAACTCACGGTGACCCTACTGAACAGAACCCAACTGCCCTTTGTGTTTCAGAGCCTGCACGTCTACATGGGTGTAGACAGCCTCATCTTTTTCCCATGCCACCAGAGCTCCTTTGGTGGTTAGTGGCTA